GCAGTATTCTATTTCAATTTTCAAGGAATTTTTGTTATTGGTTTCACACTTTTTGAACTGCCCCATCCTGTTTACTCTCTTTACCGAGTTGCATTTCCTCACCATCGACTGAGTGTGTATTATGTTCACACTGAGCAGGAACGATTCGAACCACATTTACAGCGTTGTAGACCAACATTTTACTAACATAGCGAATGATATGCTGAAGCCAAGAAAAAAGCCCGCAAGCTGTGCACATCCACCAGGTGAAATGAAGCTTGATGACTGCGCAAAGAATCAAAATGTGGCCATCTCTTTTCTGTCGGAGAAGGACTCAATGGCAATAATAAATAGAAGTCGCAATAAGTCATCTTACCCCATATCTTTTATAGCTCCTCTTTTCCTATTTCACGATCATTTATTAAAGTTAAAGCACGATCATTCGTTGGTTCAGCTGCTGGTATCACGCTGGAATATGGAGAGAAAGCCCTGGTTCAAATCCTCGACGGCATTTTTGAACTTGGTAGCTTTGTTTTGGAAGTTTTCAAGGCGTTTTTGAACTTGGGTAGCTTTGTTGTGGAAGTTTTTAAGATTCCCATTTCATTGGCTAGGTCCTATCAAAGAAAGACTTTGGGATTTAGAGGCCACACCTCTTAAATAGTCAAGCGAGTTGAAAGAGGCATATTAAACTTGCACACTTACTTACCTATAGTGCGGTCAAAAATTCGTTGCGCAACTTATTGTCCAATATCTCATTAACTATCGAACAAAGGTTCTCCAATTTTTGCACAATGACTTGTATCAATTCGTCTTAACAGATCAACATTTTTGCAAACACCTGCTAGCTGTATTCTAGAAAATTCCGTAATAAATACTAATAAAAAATCGAAATGGGTGGTTTCTAAAGATTTTAAGATGTCTACATCTGAGGCAATGTTGCTTTAACTTTAAAAAGCAAGTTGGTCATGTGTTGCTTATCGGGACATTATCAAATCATTATGTTTATTGAACGCATGTTTTGAGAACCATTAGCGCAAAAAAATGTGTTCACTGTGAAATTAATTTCTTGTGACACGTTTTGCCACTAAAAATTGTCATTGATGAGCTGTGACGTCAGCCAAAGGCGTGATCAAAGATTCAAAATGTGTGTGAGAAGCGGGAAGTGCTGTGAACAATCTCATTTTACGTGTGACAGAGATTAGAAGTATTTTATGTAAATTTATATAAAGAAAAGTTTTTAAAATTCAACCACAATTGCTCTGGAAAAATTTGATTTAGTTAACACTAACTGATACAAACTGCTGTCCAAAGTATGGATGATATTGATTCACCCGTTAAAGAGATATTAACAATTTGAGAATAAGTTGCACTACGAATTTTTGACCGCACAATAGGCTACTCATTTTTTACCTAAACTAACCCTTCTCCCTCCAAAGGAGTCGTTGGGAGTTTGTTCAAATCGTTGAAAGGTGATTACACAGGTGCTATTAATGAGTGATTATTACTAAGCTTCCCATGGCTGTCTTTGTTTCATAGTTAAGGCCCGGGGTGCTTGTGGGACACCGCTGGAGGCCATACGAACACACACACACACACACACACACACGAACACACACACAAACACACACGTATACACACAAATAAACACACTCACACTCATATTATATGTAAGACACAAACACTCTCTCTCTCACTCTCTCTCTCT